AATATGAAAAGGACTATATACATGTACATATACACAACTAAATCACTGTGCTGTACACTAGAAATTAACATGCCATTGTAAACCAATTATACTTCAGTAAAAATAATAATTAGTGTAAGTGAAAATAATCTGTAATTACAAAAGCAGAATGTGTATATGATAGAAAGTTACAGACTCCCAGTGCACAGAGGTTACTCATATTCATACCTCTGTGCATGGTATTTTTCTACGCATGTGTTTGTGTGTGTGTATTTTCACTAAAATGAGATCTTACAGTACATACTCTTGTAACTTGATTCAGTCTCTGCCTCTCTGTGATAATACATTTTCATCTTATTTAATACCCAATTAATACTTTTCTATTTCAAAAATGTTCTTTATAAGATAAAGCAGAATCCATCTCAGGACCATGCATTTCACCTTGTTATATTCTTTAACTTTCTTAATTCAGAACAGTACTCTGGCATTTTTCACAGAACTAGACCAAATAATTTTAAAATTTGTATGGAAACACAAGAGACCTTAAATAGTCAAAGCAGTCTTGAGAAGGAAAACAGAGCTGGAGGAACCATGCTATGCTCCCTGACTTCAAACTATACTAGAAAGCTACAGTAACCAAGACAGTATGGTACTGACACAGAACCAGACTCATAGATCAATGGAAAAGCATAAAGGGCCCAAAAATATACCCATGCACTATGGTCAATTAGTCTACAACAAGAGGCAAGAATGAAGAAAAAAACAATCTCTTCAATAAATGGTGCTGGGGAAACAGAACAGCTATATGTAAAAAAATGAAATTAGAATGTTCTCTACCACCATATAAAAACAAACTCAAAATGGATTATGGGCCTAAATATAAGACTGGAAATGATAGGACTCCTAAAGGAAAACATAGAATACTCTTGGACATAAATTGTAGCAATATTATTTTGGGTCTGTCTCCTAAAGCAAAGGAAATAAAAGCAAAAATAAACAAACAGGACCTAATTAAACTTAAAAGCTTTTGCATAGCAAAGGAAACCATCAACAAAACAAAAAGGCAACCTATTGAGTGGGAGAAAATATTTGCAAAATGATATAAGCCATAAAGAGTTAATGTTCAACATATATTAACAGCTCATACAACTCAACATCAAAAATACAATCTGATTAAAAAATGGGCAGAAGACCTGAATAGACATTTTTCCAAAGAAGGTATGCAGATGGTCAGCAGACACATAAAAAGAAGCTCAGCATCATTAATCATTAGGGAAATACAAATCAAAACCACAATGGTATTATCACCTCACACCTGTCAGAATGGCTGTTATCAAAAAGATCACAAATAACAAATGTTGGCAAGTATATGGAGAAAAGGGAACTTTTGGATGCTGTTGGTGGGAATGCAAATTGATGCAGCCACTGTGGAAAGCAGTATGAAGTTTTCTCAAAAAACTAAAAATAGAACTACCATATGACCCAGAAATTCTACTCCTGGGTATATATCTGAAAGAAACAAATACAGGAATTCAAAAAGATACATGCACCCCAATGTTCACATTATTTACAGTAGCCAAGATATGGAAGCAACCCAAGTGTCCATTGACAGGTGAATACTATTCAGTCACAAAAAAGAATGAAATTTTGCCATTTACAGCAACATGGATGGGGTTGAAACCATTTATGCTTAGTGAAATAAGTCAGACAGAGAAAGACAAATACTGTATGGTATCACTTACTTGCAGAATCTAAGAAATACAACAAACTAGTGAATATAACCAGAACAAAGAAGCAGACCCATAGATACAGAGAACAAACTAGTGGTTACCAGTTACATGAGACATTCAATACTTTATTATAAAATAGACTTTGTGTTAGATGATTTTGCCCAATTGTAAGCTACTGTAAGTGTTCTGAGCATATTTGAGGTAGGCTAGGCCAGGCTATGATATTCAGTAGGTTAGGTGTATTTTTTGACTCAAGATACTTTCAATTTATGAATGATTTATTGGGATGTAACCTTACTGTTAATTGAGGAAAATCTGTAATAATTTGGCTCCATAGCATCTTCTAAAAGTCACCAAAGAAACTTTGGTTTTGAGGTTTGTGTGTGTGTGTGTGTGTATTTGGTGGTGGTGATTATCATACACTCATGGATTAATTCATTTTGATTTGTTTTAATCCACTGCAGCTAACATTCTTACTGAAGCTTGAGTTGTCCCATGTTTGGCCAGTGGGAACCTCTTTGAGGTGGCTGCTGAGTTCTTTTGATACAACCCCAGTCGGTTTGTTTGTCTGTTTATTTTGATAATTTATTTGGTTCTGGTATGAAAAAGTATTCCCAGCTCATGTTTTACATTTCCTGCCCCAAAATGAGAATGAACTATTTCTTCAAGAAGCCCTGGTTCTTTTTAGTATTCAGAGACCAGAATCTGGGTCCTAGGGTACCCAGAACAGCAGGGTTGGTCATTTTTCAAGAAAATGAGATGCAAAATGCTTTTTTTCTTTATCCTAAGATAAAGTACATCATGAACTAAAAATGGTGTATGATTATTATTTTTTGTTGACAATATCTACAATGAGATGTCTACTCAAATCATTGTGTTTTACAAATAATAATCTTTTTTAAACTAGTTTTTACTAAGAAGAGTACACAGGTACTTCTCCACAGACTGTGCATCAATTTGGCACAATCTCATTTGTTTCACTTTGCTTTTGTTTTGCAGTGACAGCTTTTTTAAATGATTTTGTTGTTATATAATTATATAAAATATTTTAGTTTGTGTTTCCAAAGTTAAGTCCACCAAAAATGTTTATTCCAAGAAATTTAGCCTTTGTCCCTACTCGCTAAGCTCCTCCCTCCTCCCTATGGGCAACACTTTTTTCAATAAGGTTTTATAAGTTTTTGGTATGTAGATATAGATATAGATATAAGCTTGTATTTTTTAAGATGTGAAACATACTCACAGAGTTACCAATCAACCACTCTTTTTCCCCTAAATATGTGTCCAAATCTTGCAGAAGATGAGGTGCATCACATGTAAGTAGCTCCTTAAACATCTGATCCTAGGAGAGAGAGAAAAAGACCACTTGAAGGATAATAGGAAGGAAAATAAATAATATGATTTGAAGAGGAAGTAGATTTTCCCATCTTCATTTTCCCATGAGTTCAAAAAAGAAGAGGAGAAGCTACACGTTATTGGTGGGTGGTTGTTTGTTTTTTAAAATGTATGTCATAGAGATTCAGGTTTGATTCTCTACAGACCTTATTTCCCCCTTTATTACTCATGGATTAAAAAGTAAATATTTTTGTCATCAGTTCTTATAGTTTCTTTGCATATAATGACTAAATATTTCATCCATAAAATCTTTACATGCTTTTTATCTTAACTTTTGTTAATGAAAATTATTCCATTATGTTTTTACATTTCTAAAATTCCCCCTTTTTTTAGCCTCACTCTCTTTAAAGTAAAATAATGTAACTGAAGATAAAGAAATTAATTTTAATTTATAAGGCTAGATTCCCCCAGTTTGGCAGTCTTTCATCTCACCATTGTGCTTAACAGAAGTTAATTCATAATAAATTACGCTCTCGGTCCTTTATGGATTTCCTCTCTTGACATTGTGCCTTAGTGTGAGATTTGTCTGCCTTGAATATCAACTATAAAATCCATCATCTGGATGCCCCACTTTTAATATAATATGTAAGGTATCATCACAAATCAAATAATATCCTCAGAAGAAAATTTACAGATATATCTATTTTAAAAAGTTATCTTTATGTTTTTACTTGGATCTCTGATGGCCAAATAATTTATTCATGGCCTCTTTCTTGGTAAGAAATACTTATTTGTTTATATTGGGCTAGTTTGTATCATGGATGTGAAATGTAAGCCAAATTAAAAAAAATTATAACACATGTATATAACATTAATTAATATTCATAAGTAACCTATAATAAAATCCAGCCTTTATTAAGGTAAGTCAGTTAGTGGATAAGTTTCTCACCAATTTGCTGATTTACTTCCTGTTAGTATTATGACTCAGCCAGGTAATATAGATTACTATAACATACTGCCTTTTATTTGTAGAGCAGAGTTTGCTAAAGAATCACCATATATTTACATACATGTGCCAGATTTCACAAACTGGAGCTTTGGAAGCTTGTCATTATTTTGATTTTATATTCTCTCCACGGTTCTATACCTCCTTTGTATATAAGGTTCTCTCTCTATGGTGAATATATTCATAGTTCTAAATAAAATAGTGTGAGTCCTTCAGCCCCTTACACAGAATTTGTGAGCTGAGGTGCAATGGGCCCAGAAGCAAGTGGCACTTCCCACAGCTCAGCTGAGCATCAGTTGGGGAGGTAACAGCCAGCTTGGCTGTCCTAGAATAGCTAGAAACAGGGGGGAGTTAAACAGAGCAGGATGTAGCTGCTGGACAGCTTTCCAAAAACCCCTGAATACTCACCTGGGTAATTCTGTTACTTTTTCTAATGTGCATTTCCACAATTTAAAGTACACCAGTGCTGTGTATATGCAATTCCAAATAGAAATTTCTCTGCGCTCTTGACTTCTCCTTTAGCCAGGTTCTCTTTATGTGTCTGGTTAATCATCTCAGTCTAATGAAATGTAATTGCTAAACAGCATAATCATTAGTATTTAAGAATCATTTTAAAACTCACCAAAATAACCTAAAGAAGATAAAATTTAATAAAACATCCTTTTTAAAGTGCATTTTCTGATAAACTCTAGTGGTGGACTCTTAACTTGGTGGACTCAGAAATTTCCTACCTCCTCCAGAGCATTATAAGGCAGGAGGTTGTCACCCTGAAAAGTCATTGCTATAGTATTCTATCAAATGATCTTTAGCAGAATTAGGGAGGTTTGTGTATTTCTCCAAAGCAACCAATACTGAAACATTTATAATCGGGTATTTGGTAGTTTTTTTAAACACATAGAATAAGAGGACTTTTTACACTATCCATTCTTCTTTACTGCATCAATATTCTGCTTTCAAAAATTTTACCTGACCACAAGGTGGCAGCAATGCAACCCACTACGGAGAGACAAGCTGATGCGATACAAAAGAAGTGTGCGTGTTTCTACTGCAAGTTCTTCTTGTTAATCAAATAGTCTAGCTATCTGCAGTATTTCTGCAACATGTCCCCCTTTCTGATGGTTTATTCATGAACTTGGATTATGTCTTGTGAATTTTTTTAAGGTAGGTGATATGTAACAGCGTTGTAATTCAAACATTAAGCATTCCTCTTAACATAAACATTCAAAGAATATTTTCCTCTGGGAGGTAGCCTCTGGTGTGGAGCCTCTGCCCCAGAAAGGTACAAAGCAGAGAAACAGAGATGGGCTAGCCCATGTGGAACAAAAAGCTTTAGATACTTTTTTCTAAATTGAGGATTATGCATCTACTTGTCTCTGCATTTATAAGGATATGTGAAATATAAATGTCATGACTGACAAATAAAAACAATGAGCACTGAATGGTATGATAACACTGTATTAATTATAACAACTAATATTTATTGAACACTTTCTACCTAGCCACAAGTACTTATGCAACCATTTCATCGTCCCAACATACTTCAAAGCAGATTCTGTGATCTCTCTACCTTACAGACAAAGAATGAAAATTTGATAGGGAGTTAAGTGACAACTGGTAAAAAGAGAATCAGGATTCAAGTCTGGCAGTCTGATTCCAGAGCCCAAATGTATTTCTATCATCAAAGCTGGGCTTTTATGTAAGACTTTGTTCTGGTTACTCAGATGTGTGTGTGTGTGTGTGTGTGTTGTGTGTGTGTCTACACACACCTTACATTTATGTCAAGGAATCAGTACATGTGAATACTTTTATGTTCCAAATATCTCTATTCAAATCAGAGGGTCCTATTAAACAAACAGTATTTAGAATAAATATGCTTAAGTACATTGATAAGACTGCCACTTGTTCTGTGCTGGGGCTTTTGGATATAGGTCTTAAACCATGACATGCACGTAAATACTCGTGCACAGCTGTTTTGAACGGCTGCTGGCCCCGTGGCATTACACCCGGTGGTTAAGAACGTGGAGGCTGAGTCAGAGTGTCTGGGATTTGAATTCCTTGTGCACCACCCACCAGCTAAATAACCTTAGGCAAGTTATTTACAGTACATGAACCTTAATTTCTTCATCTGGAAGATGAGGATAACGAAAGTTTCCAAAAGTTAAAGTGAAGAAGGCTTGATGATAAGAGATACGAACACTGGGGATGTGCCCCAAGTAAACAAAGGAGTAAATAAAAACAGAGGATGGCATCCAGGAAACAGGACTCCAGCTCAAGAGAAAGACATTCCTGGAATGGCAGTGAAGGGAAGTCCAATGATGACAGCTGGGCAAAAAGCCTAGACAGCTCTCCAAAGGGAAAAGGACATCTCTGGCCAGCCAGCTCCAAGAAAATAATGGAAATAATAGGTTACCTGGTATCATTTACTCGGTGGAAAATTATATCGGCAGGCATTGAGTAGTGTGGGAAGGTTCAGCAATGGAAGTAGGAAGAATTAAGCAAGTGAAAAAAGGCAATTACTAATTTGAGGAAGAAAGTGAGAAAGGAAATATAATCAAAGTATACTACCATGCACGATTCTGCACACTATTTGTATAGGCATATTAATGTAATGACTGAACATGGATTTCACCACAAAATTTTAATATTATATTGGGAGTTTGGGGGAAGAGGAGCAGACAGAATGACTACATAAGAAATAAATTCTCATTAATTTAGTCTACTGAAATGACCTAAAATTAGTGAATCAAAGAAAGCCATATTTACATATCCTATAGAAATATGAAGATATGGAAATCCTAAAGAAACAGCTGAAAGTGTTAAAATGAGGGTTGCATCTGAGGAAGGGTTAATATGAAGAGGTAGGACTGGGAATCACTGTAGTACTTTGTTTGAAACTTTTTAATATAATTGGGTATTTTAAAACCATGGTATGTCTTACTTTGATTTTTTTAAAAAAGGAACTTTTAAAAGCACCTAACATAATGTTTGGCAAGAGGAAATGATTAATAGCAGTAATAGCAAACTGATCACATTACTTTTACATCTTGTTTTTTCTCTGCCCAAGGAAAACGTGACATGAAATCGTCCAACGTGTCCACGATTGCATCAACTTGACATTGTTCCAAGTCTGTTTTTCCAGCCAAATCTATGGAATAGAGAGAGGCCATTTTAAGACCAAGAATATGCTCAATTTAACTTACTATAGTAAAACTTTTTAAACAGGCAATATATTCACATGGTTCAAAAATTCAAAACAATATAAAATAGTATCCATTGAGGACTAAC